GGAGTAATTTCTGTAAATTAGACAATCAAAATACCCACCTGTAAAACCTGAACATGAAAATCGCAATACGTGTTCAATGATAAAGATAAATATAACTTTTAAAACAGCAATCTACCTGTTTGTATGTACATTACAGCATTTAAGTACTGAATTATAATAGTGATACGTCTTCTATTGTTCTGACTCAGTAATCCACTACACTGGATTTGAAAAGAGAGGTTGTGTTTTTTTACATTTACAACAGTCACAGATAACTACAAATCACTGAAGTATGACGTTATCCTCAGCTCTACAGAGCATTTAAGTGTCTTTCAGCTCATTGTTTTGATTTTCTGGGCATTGACTTCACTTGTTTTGGTTCAGTTGCACCACTCCTATAATTTTCAGCTACAACAGGCACCTAGCTCTGCAAAGAAAGCTTTAAAAACCAAATAGCAAACAGTTAGCAACTATATGTACTCTAACATTTATATTTCTCAGTGTTTCTGTAGAGAAAACTGAGGTAGAACTTCATATGAAATTAACCAATTACACTCACAGTCTAGCATAGTCGTCTGCCTACTAACAGCTATGAAGTGTTTTAACCCTGGTGTGACAGAAGATGGTTTGCATGTGATGTGAAAAACATCGACAGAACAGAGAGAAAGGTAAAGTATGGCTTCACTTGCTAAATGCATGTCAAGTTAATATTTGCATGTATCTTCATTAATATGGTTTTATGGATTACTGAATCCTGACAGTATTACTCCTGTGTTTTTCATTTCAAGATGGCTGATGCAGCCAGGAAAATCACAGTTTCACAATCTTCTCATGATGAAGATGAACTGTCTCTTCCCCCACCTCCTCCCGTTCCACCTAGACCTCTAGACTATGAAGGAGCTTCAGCATTGAGTAACCTCCCTGTGCCTCCACCTAAAGAAACCTTCTCCACATTCTACCAACAACGCCAGAAAAGTGAGCTGAAGAGGATCTTTAAACACATTCATCCAGACCTATTGGCAAGTCTTGATGATACTGTGGATGATGAAATCATAAAGGCAGCACAGTCAGAAACCACTGACCCAGATGCAGCTTATCAGTGTGAAGTGCAGTCTATGAAATGGATCTTTGAGAACTGGACTCTGGACAATATTGGGGATCCTCATGCAACCAAGAAGCTGCTGGATGAGGAGGAGTTAAAAGGTGGAGATGTCAGAGGCACCTCCTCTATGTTTGAGCACACTGACAGCACACAACAAATGGCTGCTAAAAGACAGACCTCTGTCAGAGGGGATGTGAGAACATCAATGTGGCTGTTTGAGACCCAGCCCTTAGATTCTCTAAATAAATCAAAAACAGAAGAAGGTGAATTGGTGGAAGCAGTGCTGAAAGAACCCATCCAGCCAGGAAATGTGAGAGGGACTCGACATCTTTTTGAATCTAGACCACTGAGTGAGTTGGGACGCTACAATTCTGTAGAAGACTGTAGCTTCTTGAAACTAAGATCTGAACTCCAGGAACAGAAAGGAGATGCCCAGAAAACTGTGAAGCTCTTTGAGGCAGAACCTTTTTGTGCCATCAAAGATAACAGCGGTAATATCCATGAGATTAAATCGATCTGCAGGGAGGAGATCAACAGCAGCGACTTCAACACTGCTCGTTGGCTTTTTGAAACCCAGCCTTTGGATCTGATTAATAAGGGACAAGATGGAGTGAAAATTATTCGGGGCATATCACTGGAAGAGGGACATAGAGGAGGAGTTGATCAAAAGAGGTGGATGTTTGAAACTCAGTCATTTGACACAATAAAAGAGGTGGAGGGAGTGGACAAGTTTGAAGGAATGCCAGCTGAATGCAGAGAAGAGGCTAATGTTGTCAACAAAAAGAAGCTCTTCGAGATGCAACCCTTGGCTGCACTGAAAGGAGACTCGGAAGAAAGGTCTTTGGAAAAGGAAGAAATAATTGGGGGGGATGTCAAGACTTCTCTGTGGCTGTTTGAAACTCAACCCATGGAGAGTCTTGGTGATGGCTATGAAATTGGCTGTCTCAAGAAAATTACTCTTTCAGCTGACAAACAAGAAGAAAGAGGCAAAAAACAACAGCTATTCAGAGAACAAGAGATTGAAAAGGGTGACGTTAAGGGATTCAAACATCTTTTTGAAACGATTCCTTTGAGCAAAATTGCTCCTTCTGACGAGGAGATCATTGAGAAGAAAAACACTACTGCAGAAGGAAATTTCAAAGAACTTCTTGAATCTCAGTCTCTCAATGACATAGGATCTGAAATGGTTACATCCTGTAAACGGAACCAAGATGAACACATTGAAAAATGTTCAGTGCACAAATTTACATGGATGTTTGAGAACTGTCCCCATAACTTGATCAGTAAGGAAAAGAATGATGCAAACACGCAAATCATCAGTGGTGTAGAGAGCGGTGATGTCCAGAACAAAAAGTTCATATTTGAAACCTGTTCACTGGACAAAATTCACGATGAACCCCTTGAGCAGATGTCGCTTTCTGTGGAACAGCCTGTGAGTAATGTTGATGTGAAATCAAGCACCATGATGTTTGAGTCTCTGCCACTGTATGCCATCAGAGACAAGGAAGGAGTGTTTCATGAGGTGACAACTGTGAAAAAAGATGAAGTATTGAGTGGTGACGTAAGAGGAGCAAGGTGGATGTTCGAAACAAAACCTCTTGATGCTATCAAGGCAGAGAATGAAGTTTATGTGATCAGAGCTGTCACCCAAGAAGACATCATAAAAGGAGATGTTAAATCAGCCAGGTGGAGGTTTGAGACACAACCTTTGGACTCTTTTACCAGCCAAGATGAACCCTCTGTCAGGGTCACTGAAGACTTTGGCAGCAGTAATGTGCAGCTCGGTAAACAGATATTTGAATCTGAGCAACCAAGCACGAAGTTTGTCCGAATGGTTAGTGTCACTGATGTCCAGCATGGTGATGTCAGGACCTCCACCTGGCTCTTTGAAAATCAAACCATTGACAGTCTGAAAGGGGAGCCTCAGGAGCAATGTCCAATAAAAACAGTCCACAGGGAAGACAGCCAGAAAGGTGATGTGAAACGCTGCACTTGGCTGTTTGAATCTCAGCCACTGGACAAAATCAAGGAGCCTGAGGACACCTCAAAGCAGGGTGTTGAGGATGAGATTCCAAAAGTTGATGTAAAGTGCACTACCTGGCTCTTTGAGACCACTCCACTGGACAAAATCACTGCCAACAATGTTGATGACACCCTGTCATATTTATATCAAATGTCTTTTCTTCACTCAAGTGGCATCATAATAGAAGCAAATGAGAGTACAAATGTCAGCATGGCCAAATACCTTCTTGAAAGCAACAAAGGTGTGCAAATACACAAAGAAGAGGTTGTTGAAGGTAACATCCAGAACATTATGTTACAACTCTTATTTAAACCAACCCTAAAACCCCAAGTAACCCTTCTTAGAGAAGTGGAGAAGGGTAAAGTGGACACCACAGTAGTAGAACTCCCAGTCTATCAGTCAACTACAACTATCAACCTTGAGACAGATCAAAGAATACAAAATATTGTCCAGATGATTATTGAATTGCTTGTTAAAGGCAAGGATCTGAAAAAAGGAATCGTAATGCAAGAGACTGCAGGTGGACAAGCAGAGATGTCAGTTTATTCTCTTATCTGCAATGAAACCAAAGCCGAGAGTAACCACATAGAAAGGGGAGATGTGAAGTCAACAATTGGAAATCTGATAGCTACTGCCAACAGTCAGAGGACTGCAGCAGCATATAGAGTGGATGAAAATGAAAAGGGAAATGTACACTTGTACAAAAGTTGCATTGAGAAAGGTGATCTGCAATACCTGAAGAGTCTTCACGCTGAGACATCAGGAGATGAAGTTGATCACAGCCTTCTGGCTAAGGAGCAGATTGAAATAGTTCAGGGGGACGTGAAGGAAGCAAAGAGAAGTCTCTGCCAGCAGAAGGAGCAAGTAGAGCGAACCATTTCTGATGTTTTGCCAGGGGATGTCAAGAATACCAAAAAAGTTTTTTCATCAGAATGCTCTGTCAGTGTCGATAGCTGTATTCCAAAGGAAGAAATTGTCCCCGGGGATGTCTTGGCAGCCAAACAACAACTTGCAGTAAAGCAACCTATTATGGTTGAAAAAGAAGAAATTATGGCTGGGGACATCAAGGCAACAATGCAGTCATTAGAACGTGCAAAGCAACAAAGCACGTGTGTGGAGCGTGAGATCATTAAACCTGGAACCATCTATGACATAGACATGTCAGCCCAAGGTCCTGATACAGAAGGAAGCCAAGCACAAAAGGAGATTATTTTATCTGGAGATGTAAAAGCAGCTAAAAGGTCACTTGAGATGGCTAAGCAACAAAGCCTACCTGTGGAGCGTGAAGTCACTGTTCCTGGAAAAATATACAACCTGAATGTCCCAACACATGAGGAAAGCCCGATGCAATCTACATGTTCATCTTCTCCCAGATGCCAGCAAGTCAGGACCTCCCCAAAGGTCAGTGATGCAGTAAAAGATCAGCAAAGCCATGGTTCTTTTGAGGCTTGTCAACAAAGTGCTGTTATAGTCAGTAACTCTGCACCAGAGTCACTGCCATCTTTTGTAAATTATGAGTGTAATGGCCAGTCAGCTAAAGATGAGACAGAAGAAGTTACAAGAGGTGATGTGAGGGCAGCTATTAGATCTCTGCAGAGTACAGCAACAGAGCAGAAGCTTCTAGATAAAGAAGATATTGTAAGAGGAAATGTTGAGTTAGCTCTGCAGTCTCTTGAGAAGTCTAGTGTAAATGTATCCAAAGGAGACTATAAAGCAGCAATGATATACAGAAGCTCAGGGAGGGGCAAGACTGTTCACAAACAATGTGTTGTGTCTATGCCTCCATCTGACACAAAATTATCTCCTTCAATTTCAGTAAACTGTGAAGGACATCCTTCCATTACAACACAGAACCCAACACCCAACCTTGTAACAAATGGAAGATCTAAATCATCCATCTCTGAAACTCCACCTCCACTCCCTCAAAAAACAAGTGGGAAACCATTGGAACAGAAGCCAGCTTTACCCCCAAAGCCACAATGGATGAAATCAGTAGTTGTAGAAGAATCAAGTATTCCACTTTGTCCTGTTACTGATGTTGCTTGCCCCGTTAATGGAAAATGTGCAGTGATTCCTCTGAAACAAAGGAGACAGTTCCCTTTGCCTTCAACAAATAAAGTACAAGAAATCACAACACATGGCAAAATCAGTAAAGAGACCTTACATGAAACATACCACCAGAACTATGTTGACGGAGCAGTGAAAGATTCAAATCAAACAAACAAATGTCTGCCGAAGAAAATGGCACCTTTTACAGGAAGCAAATCAGAACACCAAGAAGCATCAAACACCACTGAAGTGGAAATGGAGAGAAATGTAATACAGAAAATCAATGCAGATGAAGAGATAAAAATGTGCATGAAGAATTACTCAGAAGATGGCAAACATGAAATGAACATAAGCTTACAGACTGCCCTACAGAACTTCGAAAGAAAGGAAAGTGAGACTTTGGGCAGAAGAGCCCTTTTGTTGTCCAAGAAAGTAAAAGTAACAAATGACACACTTGGTGACCATAAACAGATACATACAACCGCTGCTCAGCAACGCAACCCAAATCCTGAACTTCCCAAAAAACAGCACAAGACTGAAACATTTGAGACCAACAATGAAGTTGACACATGCTATACACAGCAAAAAGATCTCAATGAAAAGCAACAAATGCCTCAGGATAAAGTTGTGCTTAGAGAGAAGAAAGTAAAGGAGACTGAGGATGAGCGACGACAGAGGCTGTCTGTGCACAAAGAGGAGATCATGAAGGGAAATGTGAAGGCGGCCATGGAAATTTTTGAAAATTTGAGAAAACGAGATGAACTCAAAGAAATTCTGACTCAAGTGCAAGAGATAGAAGAAGAAGAAGAAACCAGCAGTGTAGATGTTAAATCCTTAAAGACGTTGTATGAGAATGTTCCTGCCTGGATAGTTACACCAAGTAGAAATGCTAAGCAAGGTGTAACAAAGGAAAAGAAAGTTGAGGTAGAGGCACATGACAGTGATCTAGAAAGCATCTCCTCAGTTGAGACTGCATTTGAAGATCTGGAAAAGGCAAGTAAAGAAATAATGAATCTGAAGGAACAAACCTTAGCAAAACTTCTTGAGATTGAAGAGACGATCAAAAAGGCTCTGTACTCTGTCTCCAATCTGAAATCTGAGGCTGACATTGCAGGGCTGTCAGGACTATTTGATGAATCTTTGAAATCTGAGCAAATCCTTCAACCTGCCAACAACATCAAGAAAATAAGCATTGTGTCCAGCAAGGCCAAATCAAGTCAAATAAAAAAGACAACTGATGTGAATCTGCACACAGGTTCGGGTTCTCCTAAAAATCAAGCATCTAGACAATTGCACAATAAGCCACTCATCAGACAGTCATCTTCTCAGTCATCCCCATCATTCATCTCAATTCACTCAGCTGCCAGGAAGCCTGCCGAACAACCAAAATCACCCATGTCAACATTTAAACCAAAACCAGAGGGTAGTTCTCAAAGTGGCCATGATGCAAACAGAGATCTGGGACATGAGTCTACAGCCGAGTCTTCAAAAAACAGTCCCAGTCCTGCACAACGTTCAGTCAGTGTGCTTGAGGTGAAAACCATTCCAGAACAACCTCCAGGAATCATTGGCACAAAGACTGTCAGTGAAACATATGAAGAGACCGATGGCTTTGGCAATGTGTTTGTCTCCTCTGTGATGTCAACATTTGTCACCAAACAATCTGACAACAACTCATCTACTCTGTTTGAAGTAGTTGGGAATCCAGCCAGATATGAAGTCACAACATCCCCATTAATGCGAAGATCTGGCCGCTTTTTTGAAGATAAAGTGCTGAGCAATGCTAAGGAGGAAGGGACAGTGTTTGTAACATTTAGCCAACCTAAGGAAAAGCACTAAACATGTCATCTTCTGTATCGGACATCTCCCAGTCCTCTAATTTTAGAAAAGCAGTTATTCCATTTGTGTATTTATCACATTGTTTTGATGAAAAGGTTTTGTTAGTCATAAACTGATGTTATGACATCATATACAATGCTGACTTCTTTTATACTGTAACTACATGATAGTATTCTTTTATTAAAACTAAGCATATAATTGATACTATATGTTCTGTTGTGTAAATTGTTAAATAAATGACAGTGAAAAAAGTGGTTTCTACTCAATTACTGTATAATTTCACAAATTTTAAAGTGAATTAAATGCTCTAAATTATGGTGGAGCAACCTTATCAGCAGCTTCTGTTTTACCTAAAAGTGTGCTGCAAGCAGGTTATCTCACAGTCACAGAATTTGCTAAATGTTCCCCTCCTTAAAAGGGGAGACAGCTAAAGGTTACCTACCAGCACCTCTGTAGCTCACCATTTATTTAATTCTTACAAAATCCAAGCTGTTAAAAATCTATTTTATGGGCGAATGTATGTGCCGGACCATTTCTTGGCTGGGGAGAATTGCCAGAAAAGGAGCTTAGACTCCAGGAAGTTGTTTAGTTCCCAAACTGTTGCAGTGAAGTGCTTTTTCAAGTATATCCTACAACAATATTGTTAAAATGTCTGCTTTTATATATAGCTCTATCCAACTTACAAAACAAAGGAGGAAAATGAAATCATAATTATTCTAATACAGACATATGACTATTACTGCCAGACTGTTCAATTGAATTTGTTTCTATTATCATAGTTCCAGTCACTTGCCAAGGAAATGTGTTCTGCCTGTTTGACACCCGTCTATCCAATGGAAAAAATGGTGGCCAGTAAACTTGTCCTGCACAACAATTGTTTCTGCTGTAAACACTGTAAGAAGAAGCTCAGGTGAGCTATTTTTCACAGGATGATAAAATGACTCAATTCAACTGGTACTGAAGTGTTAAAACATTTGTAAACTAATCCAATGAAATCACCTACTGCAGCTGATCTAGCATGAGCAACAAATCATGACAAAAATATCTGACCTCATTCAGTTTAATATCACAGAAGATCTTATTTTGTTTTTATTTCAGCATTCACAACTATTGTGCTCTTTATGGGGAATTCTACTGCATTTCTCACTACCAACAGCTTTTTAAAAGAAAAGGAAATTATGATGAGGGATTTGGGCACAAGCAACATAAAAACCACTGGCTTCACAAAGATAAGGGAACAGATGAACCTGATGCCTTGCCTACTCTCACAACCACAAAACCCAACCGAATCACCCCTGATGGCTCCAGAGAGATCTCTGCTGGTGTGTTTGTATCAAAGTCCTCTGTAAGAGAGCCAGGATGCAACAGTGGTGCTGAGGTTAAGGGTAAACTGAAAATGATGTGGCCACCAGAGAAGAATAATACAAGGGTAAGTCAGTCACGGAGGACATATGCAGCAACTCTGAAAAATAGGATGCCTGATATTGACAAAGCAGCCATTTGTAGTACAAGGCATTCAGAGCATCTGAAATGTGAAAGGAACCAATTAAAGGTCAGCCGTGGAGGAGAAATGAAAGATAAGGGGTTCAAGGAGCGATCCAAGACAACAGGTTTTAACTCAGCTGAGTGGCTCTCAGAGGAGCCAAAACCCTGGAATGATCAAACCAAAGCTGGATGTGTCCAAGACATCATCTCTCCAACAGTGCTCAACTCTTCTTTGCCCTCCCAAAAAAATGGCTTTACTGTGACAAACAGAAAAACACAGCAGACAAACAGGGCACCCATATCAAAAGCAAACTATAATCCCACAGATAACAGGCAGAATGCCTTTTCAAATAAAGGTAGGAAGTCCGTACGATTTTCTCCCAATCTTGATGCAGCTCAGCCTGGCCAGTGCTCTGAACTGACCATGGGAACCCAAAAGGAAGAGTTACCAGATCAATCTGAACAGAGTCAAGTGAATAGCTCCAATGAAATAAAAAACAGAAATAATATCTCTGATCATTTAAAACCTATGTTCAGCAAAGAACAGAGTGAAAGTGAAGAGATCCCTGAAAATAAATGCTACAGAGAAACTAACAAGCCAAACCAAGAGCCTCATGTTAAAGTGGAGAGCAGCCAAGAGAGATCACAAGCTGGTGACAAAGACAGTGTTATTATTCTGAATGCAGCTGTACAGACAGCTGATGAAACACCTGATAACCAAAACCTCACTGAAGCATTCAATTCAACTCGAGATGTTATGACACACCAAGAACCATCTGATCAACGGGATGTCATTCCAAAAAGCTCAGTCAGTAGCTGTGATACAGAAAATCCAAGTACTCTGCACAGTTCTGCAGGACAAATGACCAGTGAGGAGCCCGGTACTGAAAGCAGTAAAAATCAGTTTGAAAAGACTGATTCATCCAATGATCAAGAAAATGGTGATAGTCACAAGAAGTCTGTTGAGAATAAAATTTCTCTAAAGAGTTCTGTTAAACAGGTTGAAAAGACAAACAGCAAACTGGGATCCTGGTCTAAAGGAAAGAGGCTTTCGTTGAAGCTTTTAACATCAGGTGGAAATGAAAAAGCAAACAAGGTTGAACCAAAAGAGGCCAAGAAACCAGACGTCAAACCTAGTGGACTTTTAGGAAGACTGTTTCAGTCACGCCCAGAAAAGGCAGGGGACACCACAAAACAAGATGTGCAGAATGAAAGAAGCAACAAAACATGTACTGATGAGGACAAGGAAGCCATTACAAAAAAAGTGCAAAAGGAAGGTAACACGCCTCAAATACCACAACTGGAACAAGATCCTGAGTACCCTACAAAGGAAAAGTCGCATTCTGCTGACCCCAACACACCGGATAGTAACACGAATATAAGCAAATCTACAGTGTCATTAAACCTGCCCCAGACATCAACTGGTGAACCAGGAGAACAAGATAATGACCTAACAGCTCCACATCCATCAGATGACCATGAATCAGATTTACAGATCAGTGAGCCTGTCACTAATCTTGGAATACCTGACTCCAAAGATCTTCCCTCTGCTGTCCATTCGGTGAACCAGGTGTCTGATGACTCAGTCAGTCAGTTAACAGACAAAAAAGGATTGAATGATGCATTTAATGGTAGTATTTTTGGAGACAATTTCAGTTCAGCCCCTACTGGGCCATCGGCCATTCAGACAGCTACTGACAAATATGTTCTAAAGCCAAATGAACTGTTTGATACACAAGATGAACAAGGAAGAAACCTTAGTGATGGAGTGCTTTTTGATCTCAGCCATGAATCTCCTCAAACTTCTTCCAATCTTTTTGGTCTGTCTGACTCTCAGGAGATTTTTGAGAATATACCCAGTGAAACCTTATTTCCATCTCCTGTGGGTGAGATGGATTTGTCTGCAGATGCATTTGCTAAAACATTTAGCCTGCTCGACTCTCAACCAGTATCACCTAAGAATCAAGACATGTTCAGCATGACAAGTCAGCTGATTGTTCCTGATTCAGTACCTTTAAACCAAGATAGAAGTCAATCTTTAGATCCTTTTGGTACAAACAGCCAGACAACACAGCAGGACGCTGACTTTGACATATTTAGCTCAGATCATGTTCTGTTCAATCAGCCTCCTCTTGTTAATGTGTCTAATCAAGGAGAACCTGATTCTTCCACAACCCAACCATCCACCTTTCCTGATGACATCTTTGGAATTAGTCTCATCTCAGCCAATGCAGATCTGTTTACAGTGCTACCAAGCAGTCCGGACACTTCTACTTCACTGAATGATTTATTTGGCTCAGATACATCTTCTATTGCTGCTCCTTCAGCTCAGATAAATCTTTTTGCTGATGACATCTTTGCATCAGAATCACAGTTGCTGTCTGTGTCTGAGCAAATTGACAGTGGACGAGTAGACAGTTTTTTAGTCTCTGAAATCAACAGTACTGAGCAAGCATCAGGAAATACTGTCAAAAACAGCAGCATGATGGATGATCTCCTTGGGTAATAGCAGAACTGTTTTATAACGTAATACACAAAGTTGAAATTTACAACAACTAAATAAATCATATTAAAGCTACAATATGTAACTTAAGGTAGTGTTAGCATGAACCTCCAAATCAATCCACTCTGTTCTGCCCAGCACTCCCTCTCCCTGCTTCACTATGCTCTACAACAATCTGCTATGCTCCGTCATGCTCTGCCCAGCTCTTCATATATTTGTCCTTATGAAATTACAAGAAATGAAAATGCAACCAAACTTACTGATCAAGCAGAAATAATTGAAAATCTCTGATTGTTAGAAAGGTCAGCCCCTCTCAAAACCCTTTAGAAGCTGTTATTTCTGCACTGCTGCCAGTGCTGTTCAGTGAGTCTGGGTCCCAGGAGGCTTCAACAGCTCCTCTCCACATTAAGACAAGTTTTGGAGCAGATTTCTACAACAAAAAAAAAACAAACAAAAAATCACATATTGTAGCTTTAACATTTTCTCAAAGCACTTTTTATGTGGATGTGATAAATCACTTATAATTTTTTTTTATTTACAATTGCATTTTACTTAAAATTCTATATAAAACCATCTGTAACAGGGATGTCATTTCAAACTTCACATTAATTGCAGCAAAATTAATGTATTTTAAGACATGAACATAAAGACGCTTGCTGCATGGCTGTACAGTACATTTAAAGTATTCTTTCATGAATAAATAGATAATAAATGATAAGAGTAATGGTTAAGTGCAATATGAAAATGTTTGTATACATTCTATAAAATAAAACTAAATTTGTTGATAAGAAAATCGGTTGTTCTGAATGTGCTACTTAGTGATCAATCTGTAATAAAATCTCAACTTTAAAGTCCACCTCCACTCAAAATGTTTATTCCTTGACCTTCACTGTGTGCAGTATATGCACAGTTTGACATTAAATGGGTGTTTTCCAATATGCCAAAAGTGAAAAGTTTGCCTGTGCTCCCCTAGGATCTGAGTTTACAACATCATTTGTGACATTACAGCTACTTTAGAAGTCAGTCCTGGTCCACTAGGATGGTGATGTGAAGAAC